ATCCATGACCAAACAGTAAATTATACTTTACTAGAACTGAGCCTCCTCCAGAGAAAGAGCCCAAGTGATGCGTGCTGAGAAACTGATAGCTTGAATTATTACTCCTCCTACTTTACAGTTAGGTAAGAGACTTAGAGCATTGAGAAACTTGCCCAAGAACCCACAATTAAAACACTCACTTATTAATTCAATAAAGAGACAAGCAAACTAATTTTAAAATGGACCAAAAAGACGGAGAAACGGGATATTTGAATAACCTCAAAGTATCTCTCCCAAATTTTTATTAATTACAAAGGGGAAAACAGTCACTTCACAGAGGAGAAACATGGCAGATGCTGCCATAACCAATAATTGAGGTTCATCTCATTAGCGGGAACACATACAGACAGTATGTACTTCGTGCTAGAATGTCCCAAGAAAGACACATCACTGATGTGGTATTTTACCAAAGATTCATACATCAGTCTACTCATGAGAAAACCCAGGGCAAGCCCAAATCAAGCAATATCCTACATAACATCTGGTCAGCACTATTCAAAAATGTCAAAGTCATAAAAGACCAGGAAAAAGCGAAAGAAACATGATAACTAATGACAATGGGGGATTCTGGCTTGGATCCTGCAACAAAATAAATATGTAAGTATGTAGTGAAATCCAAATGTTTAGTTCATGGTATTGTGCCAATTTTAGTTCCTTGGTTTTAATAATTGTACCATGATTATGTAAAATGTTATTAGAAGAGGCTAGGCAAAAGATATAAAGAAAGTTCTTGTAATCTTGTAACTCTTCTGTAAATCTACATTATTTCAAAATAAAAAGCTTTAAAAATGGATAAAGGAGAAGTCTTGAGTCCAATCTCCAGTATAGGCGTGGGCAATGGGCAAAAGATTTAAATAAACCAGAGAGAATATATAGATGTCAAATAAGCAAATAATAAAAACCCCACATTATTAGTCATTGAAAAATACAAACTCAAACATCTATGGGATTCTAATTAGAATTAGACTGACCACATCAAGTGTTGACAAGGATTTAAACCAACTGGAACTCACATACACCGATAGTGGGAATGTTCAATGGTACACCTATTTTGGAAAACAATGTGGCAATTTCTTAAAAAGTTACACACACACACCTACCATATAACTCAGGCCATGATAGGTATTTATACAAGAGAAATGAAGTTATATGTTCCTATGAAGATTTGTGCAAGGCTATTCATGGCAGCTTTTTCTGGTAACGGTCAAAAACTAAGAACAACTCAAAAGGCCATCAGCCTTTTGACTTTTTCACACAATAAACAAATTGTGGAATTATACATGAGAACACCACTCAACAACAAAAAGGAATAACCTATGACAACACAATGCATTTCAAAATAATTATCCTTAGTGAAAAAGGCCAAACAAAAAAGAATACATCATGTATGATTCTATTCATATAAAATTCTAGGGGGCTGGGAGCATAGCTTAGTGGCAGAGTAACTGAGAGCATGTGTGAAGACATGTATTCGGTTCCTTAAAAAAAAAAAAGCTGGGTGTGGTGGTGGTGAATTTTTATAATCCCAGCACTCAAGAGTCTGACCCAGGAGGATCACCATGAGTTTGAGGCCAGCCTGAGCTACACAGTGAGTTCAAGGCCAGCCTGAATGACATAGTGAGACCCTATCTCCAAAAAAAAAAAAAAAAAGCAAACAAATTTGTAGGGTCAGAAAGCAGATTAGTAGTTGTCTGGGCACAGGGGTTTGAGGGGAGGTAGGGGATGAGTTACAAAGGGACAAGAGAAAGCATTTGGGGTGATGAATATATTCACTGTCTTGATTGTGGTGATGGCTTCATAGATATATGTATATATATCAAAACTCATCGCATTATTTTATTAGAAAGAGGTGCTAAGATGCTTACAGGTTTCCCAGAGATTAGAGTTTCATGTCCCCAAACAGGGTGTCCCTCAAAGATATGAAACAAGTAGTTCCTATGTTGCTGGGATTAAAAATAAACTGAATCCAGCCTGTCAGTAGAGCCCTGTAGTTCACAGCCCTGGGGAGAACACTTCTTTTATCCTTTGCTTGGCAGAGGGTTTGGGTGCTCTGGCAAGTGGGAGATGTTTGTTTTTAACTTGCTCTGAGTTTCATGGAGGAGGTAGCATGCAAATCACAAATTCCTGATTCCTACTCTGGTTTACTCTAATAAGAACCAGGCTGGTCCCTTAATCCCAGTTTAAAGGGCCCATGTTTATTGATGCCATAAAATCCAGACAAAGGGTCATAAATCACTCTTCTGCTAGGTCCAAGGCAGGAGCTCAATGCAGGACTCAATGCGGGAATGGGCAGGTCTAGGTGATAGTACTAGGAATCTTGTCTGTTTCTCTGGCCTTTTTCCTCAAAAGCATTCTCCTCTGGGCCCCTGTGCTGGGAACCTCCGTTTGCCCTTCCAGACCCAGCTCTTTACTCTGTACCCCACTCTGTGCCTAGAAAGAGCGGTACAGCAGAGGTGCCTGAATCACCTTGCCCTTGATTTCCAAGTAGGTTCACCCAAAGGGAGGCACTAATAGGAAATCAGAGAAGAGAGGGAGAGATTGTGGGTTCATCCCAGATCCCATCCCAACCTGCCCCAACACTATTCTGCAATGACTGTGGTTTTCTACTTAGGGCCACAGCTCTGGACAGGTGGCAGGTGTCTCTGCCAGGAGGACAGGCCCCAACTGATTCCAGTCCAGCCCTGCCCTCGGGTCCACAGATGGAAATAGCTTTCCCCATTCCAATGCACCCTGGTGCTTTACCCTACTTGGCGAGTGTCCCTAACCCAGATCACACTTCTGTACATAGTTCCTTTTTGTTTGTTTGTTTGTAGACAGGGTCTCACTATGTAGTTCGGGCTGGCCTTGAACTATGTAGCCCAGGATGACCTGGAACTTGCAAAGATACTCCTGCCTCAGCCTCCTGAGTGTTAAGATTACAGGTGTGCACTACTATGCCTGGCCAGAGTTCCTTTTCAAACTCTTGTTTAGCCCTTTGAGTGTTCAATCCCTCTTCTGCTACAACTCTGATGCATACAGTTTCTTTGTCATTTTCTTTTTTCTTTGGGGATACTGGGGATTGAACTCAGGGCCTTCACATCCCCCTTTTTTTTACTCTGAGATAAGATCTTACTAAGTAACTAAGTTGGACTTGAGCTTCTGATCCTCCTGCTTCAGCCTTCCAGAGTGCTGGGATGAGAGGCGTACACCACGATGCCCTGGTTGATGGATACACCCCAAACAGGTGTACTTTACCTCCTCAGCAGGGTGCAATTTACAGAGCCCTCCTGAGGGTCCCCTGGTTGGCCCTCCTCTCTTGGCCTGGGTGTTCTTCCATCTCTCCCCTTCCTCCCCAGGATCCTCTGACCCCACCTGCCCTTTGCCATATCTATGCTGATACTGCTCTCTCTAAACTCATTAAAATTTTCTTTCTCAGCCATACTACTGTGCTCCCTACTCAGTTAATGTCACCTGGAGAGGTGACAAAGATTGGAAAATTACGTGACATCTGAAACTTCTCTTCAGAGGAATCTAAGCAGAGGCCACAAGCCCCTACAGAAACACAATTTAGGGAAAGGTGAACCTGGCCTCCCTCCAGGCTAAAGAGATGTAGCCTCAAGGAAATTTCTCTTCCGCCAATCACACTATCACAACTTAGTCCCCCCCCCCCCAAACTGGGACGGGCTACTGCTTCCCCTCCCCCTGGGCTCAAACCCATTCCTTTCCCTCCGACCTACACCCTGCCTCTTAGCTGCTGCTGGCCTCTCCCAGGGTTCCCTCCCTCGCTTGCATGTTGCCCCCATAACCCAGTCCCCACAACGCCAGCCCCGCAAAGCCTGGGTCTGAATGAAAGTAGCGGCTCCCTAGTGCTTGAAAATATCCACCCTCTCCTTCGCTTCTCTACTGAATGTGATTTTTTTTTTTGGTACCGGGGATATTGAATGTGATTTTTTTTTTTCCAGTCCTAGGGACTGAACCAAGGGCCTTCGTACTAAGCTACATCCCAGCCTTTCATTCATTTTTTATTTTAAGAAGGGTCTCACCAAGTCAGTAAATTGACCAGGCTGGGCTCAACTTGCAATCTTCCTGTTTCGGCCTCTCAGAGTGCTGGGATTACTGGTGTGCACCATTACGTCCGGCTTTGGATTTACCAAAAGCTCTTCCTTAAAACAAAACAACAGCAACAACAAAACTGCCTAGGATGCGCTAGGCCCTGGGTTCCATCCCAGCACGGGAAAAACAAAAACAAATGCACGATCACATCAATGCAAATGCCATTTAAAGGTGCCATTCATTCTTTTGGGTTTCAAAGATTTTTTTTTCATCCAAACTGGCGTTTGATGAGAAACTTGAGACTTTCCTGAGCATCTCCACTGAGGAGCACGGCGCCGTGCTCATGGGAGCAGGAGGCAGCGGCGTGCGGAGAGAAAGTCCCGAAGATCCCCGCGGACCCAGCGCTAGGGGATCTCGGCTCCGCGACAGTCAGCGAGGGATACGCGGGGTCCGGACGCGGGAGGGGGCAGACCATGAGTCCCAACCAGGCGTGGAGCTGGCCTTCCCCGTCCCAGGCCTCGGAGGTGGCAACAGGCTGCTCCCAGATGGTCGGGATGGCCAGGGAGGGACCCGTGCCGCCCCACCGCCGGACCTCGCAAGCTGCTGGCGAAGGCAGCCAGAGTAGCGCTGGCGGCAGCTCGCGGGAGGCGGGAGCGCAGGCGCGTAGCGCCGGGAGTCGGAGACAGGTCAGGGCAGCCCATCAGGTCCCGCCTCCCTCCTTGGGGGGGGGCGGGATTGTGGTGACGGATAGACCTCAGAGCCAGTCACGACAGGTCTGTGTTTCTGAGGGGCCAGCTTGGCGGAGCGGCTCCAGAGGGGGCGGGGGCGTGTGCGGGAAGCCTCTGGGTGAGGGGCGGGGATTCATGGAGATGGACAGCGTTTCCAGCCAGTGGGAGACGGGAGCCGTCCCGTTAGCGCTGGATTCCCGCGGGTAGGGCGAGGCGGGCGGCGCCGTGGGGATCCCGCGGCCAGTGAGGGCTCCTCCTGACTCGGCGCGGCAACATGGACCGGATGGCCAGCTCTATGAAGCAGGTGCCTAACCCGCTACCCAAGGTACTGAGTAGGCGCGGGGTCGGCGCGGGACCGGAGGCTGCGGAGCGGGAGAGCTTCGAGCGGACTCAGGTGAGGACGTGGAGGAGGGACCCCGGGGCATCTCTGGGGCAGCCCTAGAGACACGGTGGCTGGGACGGTGTTGGAAGAGAGAAGGTGTCTTGCAGGCCCAAGAGAGGTCTGGGGAAGGGAAGCTGTGAGCAGAGGGATCGGGTGCGCAGACCGAGGCGGACCCAGGAGTCGGGGACCCAAGGACACCCCTGCTGGCCTGGCAGCGGGCAGGGCTGCGAGACCCGAGCGGCCGTGGGGAGTCGTGCCGGGTAGGCACCGGGCAGGGGTCACCCGAGGTGGCGGGAGGGAAAGTTGCCGAGAAAAGGGGTGTCCCATAGGGGGCCGCTTGGATACTCAAGTGTGGGTGCCCTGGCCTGGGGACGTGAAGGGTGAGGGGACCTTTCTTCCCCTCTCGATCACCTCTTGGTTGCACTGATTTCTCCCGGAGCCCTGAGCACCCCCTTCTCGGCGCCTCTTGCTTGGCTCCCTCCAACCCCAGCTGTCCGCCCTCCGAGGGCTGAAGGGGTCTGAGCGCAGAGAAGGAATGTAGGAAACGCGAAGGGCGGCCGAGCTTGGAAAATGACTCGGGGCTGGAGGAGGGGCACAGGAATCGGGGCGTCGAGCCCGACTCCCCGCTGCTTGTAAGGATGAGCTCCCAGTGGTCCCTGGAGCCCTGACTTGGGGTTTTGGTTTCATCCCCAAAATATGCCTGACAGCTAATAGCCAGATCGCCCTCCTATTGCCTGGCCTGACCAGGGCTGGGAGCCAGAATTCCTCAGTGTTATCAGCAAAAAGCCACAATCCATTTTTACCTCCTAGTTTTAATGCTTGGTATATTGATTGGACTGAATAAAGCTGACATGTTTATGGTATTCCTCAGTTCACTTGTATATAAAATCCATTTCGAAGAGTACAACAGTTCTTTTAATCCCAGTGCCAAAGTTGTATGGGCAGATTTGTTCTCCGCTTTTGCTCCCAGTGGAACCTTTGAAGATCCAGTTGGGTTTCTACTGCCAAGGGCTGGTTCCTCTCCCTTGTGTTGTGTAAGTAGAAAAGATGGAAAAGATAGTGAGGGCCTGAGTGTTCCATAAATGGAATCTTGCGAAGAATAAAGCTTTTTGCCCTGGGAGATCTCATCTTTCTCTGATTACTAAAACCTGTGGCCACACCCACAAGCCTTTGGAGACTTTTAAGTGGGGTGATCCTACTCAGGAGGGGAGACAGAGATGACCTTTTACAGTACCACCCAGGGTCCAGCTGAGTTTGGGGCTGTCATCTGGACTCCTGAAAAAAAGTTTTCTTTTGGCCGTAAATAGCTGCCTAGACATGTGAGACTTTCCCAAATTATTGAAAGAAAAAGTAGTTGTAACAACTCACTTTTGGAGTGTTAGATAAGTAAAAACTGGAGCGATAGGGAAATATGCACAAGAGTTTGACCCACTATAATGATAGAAATTAGGTTTGTGGACATTCCCAACCATGACCAGCACATCCCCTAGCCATCTAAGGTTAGCCCTACAGGGAGAGTGTAGCTCAGTGTTTTGCAATATCTCACACTCTGTGGAACACTTGTACTTGGCTAGATTTCACTGTGTGTGTGTGTGTGTGTGTGTGTGTGTGTGTGTGTGTATGCACACATACAGCAGGTATAGATTGGTGCAGTAAAAGAGTTTTTCTGTTGTTGAAACTGTGGGGGGAGTAGGAAGGGGAAAAAAAGAAAAAGAGCACCATCCTAAAATATAGCATTAGTCCATCTGTGGAAATTTACTTTTTTACTGGCTACCCATCAAACGTATTGAGATATAAAAATGAGTTAGAAAAGTTTAATGAGTTAAGAGACCAAGAGAATCACCCAAGATATACTAATAATTTAAACTAATTATGATGTTTGGCACTATTCCAAATATAGTACTTTATTGTATTATTTTCTTTAATCCTTGACGAGAACTTTTGAGGTGGTGTTGGCCATGTTGTGCTCCTGAGGAAACTGAGGCATAGAGAGGTTAAGTAACTTGAAGGAGGTCACACAGCTGCAAGTAGTCCCAACCTTTAACCACTGCTTGCAGTGCCTCAGTACTAGGCAGAGCCTTGGCATTGGAGTGAGAACACATTTCAGATTTGCAGCTTGGCATGTGTGATGTGTATGGGCCTTGTGTCCTCAGACAAATTGTCTGACCTTTCTCGGCCTCGGTTTCCTTACAGTAAAATAGCAATAATACTTCCCTTTTGGGATGATTGTGAGGATTAAATTAAATGATACGCCTGAAGGCATTTTTGTGGATGGTGGTGCAGCGTTTCAGTGGTTACTGTTGTAATCTGGCTGGGGAGAAAGTACACAGGGAGCAAATGTGTAACTGGCTGTGCAGGCTCTGATGAACTTCTGTAGAGAGATGGAAGGTAATAGGATCATTACCATGGCACTAGGACGAAGGCCAGGCTGCCTCCCAGCACTGCACAACACTCTCCTGCATGAGTTAGCACTTGCCTCGTAGGGAAGAAGGACAGAGCATTCCAGCCACCAAGAATGTTAGAAAGAAACGCTAGAGTCAGAAACACAGCGGAAGTGGGTGCAGTCAAGACTGATTGGCTGAGACTAACAGAAGACGACATTGGCCAGTTTCAGTCCCCTGTCTGATCACCATTTCTCTCTGTGGCCCTCAGTAAACTCAGCTTCCTGGGGCAGGGCTGTGCCTGTGTCCTCTGTTGCTTGAGGCTTGCAGTCAGTGGCAAAGGGACTGTAGTCCAGGGTAAAAAATTACTGTTTAGCCCAGGGAGGGCAGCCCTGGGCCTGGGTAGGTACCTCAACCTTGGGTTGAAGGAGACATAAGTAACTACTTGATCTTTTTTTTCTGATGGCCCCAAGTTTCCTTCCCAGTCTAGCTTTGGACCCCACGTGCACTGTAAGGCGGTCTACCACCCATTTATGGACTCTGCTTTGTCTCATGTCCTGTGTCCTCTGCCTGAACCCTCAGCCAGCCTTGCTTTCTCCCTCCTGACAGCCTCTTCCAGGAAGCCTTCGACCCTTAGCTACCTTGGAACCAGCCTTGAACTTCGCGTGGCCACTGTCCCTGCCTAAGTGGGAACAGCTGACGTACCTGCTGGTCCAGGTGCTTCCATGCCCCAACCACTTCCCTGTTGAGCATGTCACAAGTAACTTCCAGGTGTTAGGGACATGATAAGTAGCTCTTGCTCTGCAGGAAACTGCTGTAATGGTAGCTCACCTGGGCAGCACTTTATAGTTTATAAAGCATGGTTTTAGCCCTCACTGGGGCTGGGTGATAGTTAGGGATGATCATCGTCATCTTGGAGGAGGATGTTGTGACACAGAGTTTGGCACCTGGCCCACGGTCATCCTGCTGGTGAGCCACAGGGTGGAGATTCAAATCCAGGACTCCAGGCTCCAAGCCACAGACCCGTTCCACCATGCTGTCTTCACGGTCGCCAGGAGGGTGATTCTGGAATGAATCATGAGGGCTGCCAATCACAGACCGACAAAATGCCCTGACTGTATTTTCTGAGCCAGAAAATGGTTTTCTCTCTGGTTTGTTTATTTTCCCAGCATCCATTTAGGGAGCACATACCATGGAGGGGACACGGGTGAGTAAGACAGAGACTGGCCCCAGAGGAGCTGTGAGTCAGCAGGAGGCGGGCTGAGCGGGCTCCTAGGTGGTCAAAGGATGCTTACCAGCATCACCAAAGCCTTAGAGCTGAAGTCAGGGTCTCAGGCCCCGCCTGCAACACTGATTTAGAGCTGCCTTTCAGCCAGTGCCCCAGTCTGATCAGCGATGTCCTGGGCTGGGTGAGCATGGGGTTTGGGGAGGGGACTCAGGCTTCAGAGTCAGAATGTCTTTGAGTGAAGCACAGCACAGAGTCAGGATCAAAATGCATCATGCAGCAGGAAGTCAGGAGAAGTGGGTTCTATAGGGGAAGGAAAAGAAGCATTTCTTTTTTTTTTTTTTTGGTACCGGGGATCGAACTCGGGTCCTTCCGCTTGCGCAGCAGGCAGTGAAACCACTGAGCTAAATCCCCAGCCCGAAAAGAAGTATTTCTTGAGGGCCTGCTGGGCGCTAGGAGCCTGCCAGGTGATTTAGACCCATTATCTCACTTAGAATCTCAAGTTCACATTCTTTGTGTCTTGATAGCTCAGATTCAGAGAGGCTCAGTTAATTTTTCCATGGTCACACAGTGAATAAACAGAGCAGCCAGGCCTCAAAATCAGATGGCAGCTGGGTGTGGTAGTGCATTCTTGTAGTTTCAGCTACAGGAGGGGAGGCTGATGCAGGAGGAGCACATGAACCCAGGCGTTTAAGGTCAGCCTGGGCAACATAGCAAGACCCTGTCTCAAAAAAACAAAAACAAGCCAAGTCTGGTGGCATACCAGCACTATATGCCCAGCACTCTGGGAGACTGAGGCAGGAGGATCACAAGTTTGAGCCTAGCCTGGGCAACTTAACTAGACCCTGTCTCAAAATAATAAAAAAGGGCTGGAGCTATAGCTCAGTGTGAAGGACCTGGGTCTAATCCCTAGTACTGCAAAACCACAAAACCAATAAAACTAAAACAAAGTCAAGGCCAAGTCCTTTCTCCATGTTTAAATTGGGAATGCCTCTGCCATCTTGCTCATGATTTCAGCAGATGCTCAACTTTAAGTTCTCCCAGTTGAAAAGTTTTAGGGTAACACTAGAAGGACCGGTGTTTCTTAATCCTGGCCAAACATCTGGAAAGCTCTTTTAAAACAATACTGGTTTTCGGGGCTGACCATGCAGAGACTGTCTCACGACATCTGGGGTCATCATTGACAATTTGTAAAGTCCCCAGAAGTTCTCATGGGCAGCCAGGAAGGGGACCGCTGGCTGTGGCACTCTGTGAGCTTGGGGATGGCTGCGTCCAAGTTACACCTGGGAAACCAAGTTGTCCCTGCTTTCCTCAGGTCGGAAGAAGCTGAGTCTTAGGTTTGTTCTCTGCAAACACAAATGCTCAGAGCCAGGCTGTGTAGCACCCTGAGCCTTGGAACTGATGCT